GACTCCACCGTGCTGGGATCCAACTGGGAGCCAAACTGGGATCAAAACAGGGAGCCAAACTGGGATCCAAACTGGGCAAACTGGGATCCAGACTGGGATCCAAACTGGGATCCAGACTGGGATCAAAACAGGGAGCCAAACTGGGATCCAGACTGGGATCCAGACTGGGAAATCTGGGATCCAAACTGGGATCAAAACAGGGAGCCAAACTGGGATCCAATCTGGGATCCAAACTGGGATCCAAACTGGGATCCAATCTGGGATCCAAACTGGGATCCAACTGGGATCCAATCTGGGATCCAAACTGGTTTCCCGCGGCCCTGGCAGGAGCCCGATGGTGACGGGGACGTCGGTGCTGGGGCTGAAGTTCTCCGGGGGCGTGATCCTGGCCGCGGACACGGTGGGATCCTACGGATCCCTGGCGCGATTCCGGGGGATCTCCCGGCTCCTCAAGGTCAACGACTCCACCGTGCTGGGATCCAACTGGGAGCCAAACTGGGATCAAAACAGGGAGCCAAACTGGGATCCAAACTGGGATCTAACAGGGATCAAAACAGGGAGCCAAACTGGGATCCAAACTGGGATCCAAACTGGGCAAACTGGGAGCCAAACTGGGATCCAAACTGGGCCCAAACTGGGATCCAGAACTGGGATCCAAACTGGGATCCAATCTGGGATCCAAACTGGGATCCAAACTGGGATCCAAACTGGGATCCAGACTGGGATCCAAACTGGGATCCAAACTGGGATCCAACAGGGATCAAAATAGGGAGCCAAACTGGGATCTAAACTGGGATCCAGACCGGGAGCCAAACCAGGATCCAGACTGAGACCCAAACTGGTCAAACTGGGATCCAAACTGGACAAACTGGGATCCAAACTGGGATCCAAACTGGTCGAACTGGGATCCAAACTGGTCAAACTGGGATCCAGACTGGGATCCAATCTGGGACCCAAACTGGTCGAACTGGGATCCAATCTGGGATCCAAACTGGGATCCAAACTGGGATCCAATCTGGGATCCAAACTGGTTTCCCGCGGCCCTGGCAGGAGCCCGATGGTGACGGGGACGTCGGTGCTGGGGCTGAAGTTCTCCGGGGGCGTGATCCTGGCCGCGGACACGGTGGGATCCTACGGATCCCTGGCGCGATTCCGGGGGATCTCCCGGCTCCTCAAGGTCAACGACTCCACCGTGCTGGGAGCCTCGGGAGATCTGGCGGATTTCCAGCACCTGCGGCAGCTCCTGGAGCAGATGGTGTAAGATTCCCGGGGATTTCTCGGGATCTGGGGAGGCCAAAATCCTCTGGGAATTGTGGGATTCCTCAAATGGCAGCTGGATTCCCGGAAATTTGGGAATTTCCTGTTGTTAAAGCCCTGGGATTGATTGCTGGGATTGATTTCCCATCCCAAAATCCCGGATTTTCAGGTGATGTGAGGCGTTCCCATGACTTCCCCATCCCAAAATCCCGGATTTTCAGGGGGTGTGAGGCGTTCCCAAGAATTCCCCATCCCAAAATCCCGGATTTTCAGGTGATGTGAGGCGTTCCCAAGAATTCCCCATCCCAAAATCCCAGATTTTCAGGGGGTGTGAGGCGTTCCCAAGAATTCCCCATCCCAAAATCCCGGATTTTCAAGTGATGTGAGGTGTTCCCAAGAATTCCCCATCCCAAAATCCCAGATTTTCAGGTGGTGTGAGGCGTTCCCAAGAGTTTCTGATCCCAAAATTTTTTAATCTCGAGTCCCTGAATCCCTTGACCACAATTCCCTGATTTTCCTGGTGTTCCATCCCCAAATTCCAAAGCTTTTTTCAACCACAAATCCCTGATTTTCCCAATATTCCACCCCCGAATTCCCGATTTTTTCCCACCACAAATCCCTGATTTTCCTGGTTTTCCATCCTTGAATTCCCTGACAGTTTTTGACCACAAATCCTGGATTTTCCCAGCATTCCATCCCCAAATCCCCTGATTTTCCTGCTTTTCCATCCCCAAATTCCCTGACATTTTTTGACCACCAATCCCTGATTTTCCCAATATTCCATCCCTGAATTCCCTGATTTTCCCAGCATTCCACCCCCGAATTCCCAATTTTTTCGACCACAAATCCCCCGATTTTCCCATCATTCCACCCCCGAATTCCAAAGCTTTTTCTGACCACAAATCCCTGATTTTCCTGGTTTTCCATCCCCAAATTCCCTGATTTTCCCAGCATTCCATCCCTAAATTCCCCATTTTTCCCCCACCACAAATCCCCCGATTTTCCCAATATTCCATCCCCAAATTCCCTGATTTTCCCATCATTCCACTCCTGAATTCCAAAGCTTTTTCTGACCACAAATCCCTGATTTTCCTGGTTTTCCATCCCCAAATCCCCCGATTTTCCCAGCATTCCATTCCTAAATTCCAAAGCTTTTTTCAACCACAAATCCCCTGATTTTCCCATCATTCCACCCCCGAATTCCCTGATTTTCCCCCTATTCCATCCCCAAATCCCCCAATTTTCCCAGCATTCCATCCCCAAATTCCCTGGCATTTTTT